GGCGGCGGCGGCGCGACGGCGATTGAGCGCGGAGTGGCGCGCGCGAAGCGGCGTCGTCGTGGACGCCGCGGGCGGCGTGATGGTGTTCATCAAGGAGATGGACGACGCGGACGACGCGGCGACGACGACGGCGATGGAGACGTCGGTGACGCGCGATGGGACGAGCGCGTGCGTGGTCGAGATCTCGGACGAGGCGGAGATGGCGACGGCGGCGGCGGACGCCGAGGCGGTTCGCGACGCGACGTCTCCGCCGACGCCCGCGCTCGATGTCGAGTCGGGGTGACCCTCGCGCCCACGGGCGTGACCGCCGCGTGTACCAGCACAGTACGTTTTACACGTTGTTCCGCGCCTCGACGCACCGAGCGCGCTTTGTATTTACCATTCATTCGCTTCGCCCGTCGCGCGCCGACGCCCGCCGCGACGAACCGCGCCGCCGCACATCATGACGCGAGAACTCCCGCTCGCGGCGTTGTTCGCGCGCGCCGATCGCGCGGACGCGTCGGTGGAGACGTGTGAGGCGTTCAGGGACGCCGTGCGCGCGACCGGGGGACTGGGACGGGCGGAGACGTTGGATGATTTGGATCGCATCGGGCTAAAGCTTGCGCTGGGGCATCGATTGGCGGGACGCGCGCACGCGCGATGCGGACGCGATGGCGTCGAACGGGCGATCGATGCGTTGGAGGCATTCGTCTCGCTCGTGCGCGAGCTCGATGGGGTGCCGCGGGAGGAGATGGCGGCGTGCGAGGGAGAGGAAGAGGGGACGTCGCGGCGGGCGCGGGGCGGAGACGGACGCGCGGATAAAGTGCGCAGATTTAAGGCGAAAAGGCGGTGTGAGAAGAGAATGGAGGAGATTGAGGAGATTTTGAAGCGACGATCGAGGGTGGAGGAGGAATCTGGGAGTGAATCCGCGTCGGAGGAGGATGAGACGGATCACGACGCGCTCGAGCGGGAGTATTGGATGAAACGCATCGAGCTCGAGACGTACGAGACTTTGGACGAACTCCCGAGCCTGAGAATGGAGAGAGAGATGTTTTTGAGACGGGATGAGCTCGAGGAGGCGCGACGGGCCGAGCGAGAGCGCATGGACGCGGATGAGCGCGTCGGACGCGACGCCAGGATCGAGACGTACACGATCGAGCGCGAGGACGTGAACGCGCTCGCGGGGCCGTCCATTCTCACCGCCGATCCGCGCACGAGATTCCGAACCGAGGTCTTCAGACCCACGGTGGCGTTACCCACGATGACGGTCGAGCAGTTCGGCGAGATCGAGCGTCGGGAGATGCTCGAACGCGAGCTCCGCTCGGCGGAGCGCGAGCTCGAGCGCGCCGCCATCCGCGCCGCCAAAACAGAGGAACAAATCGAGGAAGAAGAGCTCGCCGAGACGCGTCGATGGGACGCGTTCAAGGACGACAATCCCTACGGCTCGGGGAACTCCCGGCTCCGGCCGTGTTCGTAGGATTCTAATCGTAGATGACGCGGACGTAGACGACGCGCTCCGACGCGCCTCGCGTGCGTCCCGCGCCGCACTTCGCGCCATGCGCACCGCGTCCACCACCACCCCTCGCGCGCCGTCCCGCGCGCACGCGCGACGTGCCTCGATCACACGCGCGTCGTCCGCGCCCACGAGCGCGGCGCGCGTCGCCATCGCGGGCGGTGGCTTGATCGGTGCGTCCTGCGCGTACTTTCTCCAACGCGCCGGGTGCGAGGTCACCCTCATCGAACGCGTCGCCGTCGCGTCCGCGGCGAGCGGTAAGGGCGGTGGATTCCTCGCCAGAGACTGGGGCGATGGGTCCGTGACGCAGGCGCTGCATCGACGGTCGTACGCGTTACACGAGGAGCTGGCGGAGGCGTTGGCGTTGGAGACGTACCGAAAGATACCGACGCTGAGCGTGGTGGGTGGCGATGGCTTGGAGGCGGCGACGCCGCTCGTGAGCTGGTTGGACGGTGACATCGCGATGTGTCGGATGATGGATGAAAACGGCACGGCGCAGGTGACGCCGAGGGAATTGTGCGAAAAGCTGCACGCGGGAGCGTTGGCGTCCGGGGCGACGAGCGTGAAAGGCGAAGTCGTCGGTGTGATGTTCAACGACGATGGGACCAAGGCTCGTGGATTGGAATACGTGAACGAGGAGACGGGGGAGAGACACGCGGTGGAGGCGGATCACGTGGTGATCGCGATGGGTCCGTGGTCGACGCGCGCGAGCGAGTGGTTCGGCATCAAGGTTCCGATGACTGGGATTCGAAGCACGTCCATCATGTACGAGGCGAACGAAAAGGTCATGAACGAGCCCGCGGCGTTGTTCTGCGGTGAAGATCAAAACGGATGCCACTTGGAGGTGTACCCTCGATCCACGGGAGAGGTCTACCTGTGCGGCATCGGCGGTTCGGATTACGTGGACGAATCGAGACTGCTCCCAAACGGAGACTGCGATCGAAGCGATAAGATTACGCCCGATGACAAACGCGTCGCCGCGGCGATGCAAAGTTTTGGAGTCATGTCGAAGAGCATCGCAGGCGACGGTAAGAAGCCCATGGTGACGCAAGCGTGTATGCGACCGTGCGCGCCAGACGCTCTGCCCATCCTCGGCCCGGTCGACGGCATCGAGAACGCGTACATGGCCACCGCGCACAACTGTTGGGGGATCCTGTGGTCGCCCGTTACCGGCGAGATCATCACGCAGCTCATCACGCAGGGCAAGAGCGATATAGACATCCGACCCTTCTCGCCGACGCGGTTCATGAGTAGAGGACAGCGCGGCCGAGGAAGGAAAATGCGCAGCGAAGAGGTGGGCGAGCAGTGGTGATTCCTAAAAAAGTATCATGTATTAGACAAAAAATTACGTCGCTGCAGCGGTTCGCGCGCGCATCACGACTGATCCCGTCGCGGTGGAAGCTCGAGACAAAAGTTCCCGATGTGCCCGCCCCGGAAATCGTTGAGCATGCGCGTGCCCGCGCGCTCGACGTCCCCGCCCGCGGTCTTGTTCGCGAACTCCTGAACGAACTGCTCCCCAGAGATGTCGTCCACGTTGTTGAGCTTGAATCTTCGAATCACGCCCGGTCTGATGAGCTCCCACGTGGGCAAGCGCTTCATCTCCTCAATCATGGCCGCCGCCATGGCGCTCGACAGGTAACTCGCCTCGCCGATGTCGTTCGCCATGGCCAACTTCGACGCCGCTCTCTGATCGTGCATGCGCGCCGGCAGAACCCCTGGGGCATCCAACAGATCCATGTCCGACCCCGGAACTCGAACCCAGCGCAAATCTCTCGTCACCCCGGGTCTCGGCGCGCTCGCGCACGCCGCCTTGCCCACCAACCTATTGATGAGCGCGCTCTTCCCTACG